ACATTGCATAAGTACAGGTTCTACGAACCTTTTGCACTCAAGTAGTATTTGCATTGTGTATTTTTTAATTTTATTTTTGCATTGTATATTTTATGTAAAACTTAATAGCTTTTGTTTTAAGTAAATATTTGAAAATGTACAAATAAGGAAAAGCTATGAATAAAATGCCCAACATAGAATGTCTTCTACTTTAAAAAGCCTGATGGGAATATGGCTTTGGTATGTTACTAGGGTACAATTTACATAACCAGAACTTGTGTGACAATTAAGCAACATATTCACATGCAATGACTGGGTGTTCTGAAATCTTAAGTTAGGTACAAAGAAGTTTTATTGTGACTTACCTCCAAGTCTGTGGTCTGGCAAGGCCCTTGCACATCTGAGGTCCAGGGCACTTGGCCAGGGTTTCTTAAATCTTTAAAATCCTCAATTTCTTCTGTGCCAACCCAACCTGAATTTGGAATATAGCTCTTTGGGGGGCACAGTCTATCTATTGAGCATGTCCATCAGCTCAGAAGCCTAGTTTCTATGATTTGCATGTTGAAAGAGTAGGGTTTCCTCCCCAATATGAGATTATTGCCAATTTAACATGCCTTTTCAAACTGATACCTTCTATTCTAAAAGGGCCACCCTTCACTTTGCAAGGTTGTTGCCACCAGAGCTAGTTCTGTTCCTTCCTTTCTCATCTTTCTTCCATTTATCTACAGCATGTCTTAATAGACACTAGAAAGTGTGATCTGACTGATTTAGAGTCTAAGTTGAAACTTACTGATAGCTAGGTATAAGTCATCTGACCTGCTTCACTAAGTCTGGGTAAAAATATGTTTATGAGCTTTTATTTCTTTAATTAATTACTTGGGTCCCCCCCCCAATCTTTAATTATCAGAGAGTCTAGTATCTCCATTATGAGGTCTCTTCATCTCTGTTATCTAAGAATCCTGAGGGTTTCCTCTGTTCATTGGGAGCCCAAAAGGTAACTGAGTCTGAGGGATCTACCACTAATGTTACTTCATGCCATCGCTTAGTGTCACTGTTGAAGATGGGTCCTATACAGTGGAAATAGTATCTACCTCGCAGAGTTGTACAAATTAAATGAGTAAATACTTTTAAAGTGTTTAGTCTACAGATGGATGCGTGGGCACTACTAAGTAGACACTCAGAGGTTTAGCTATTATGTTATTGGGCCTCAGTATTCTGTCTTATGGGCCTGGACTGGAGGATCCCTCAAAGCTTCCCAGCTTTGGCAAATGGTGAGAAATAGATGGGGGCCTTGGTCCTCTGCAGGCTGACAGATAGCCTGCATGCCAAGTTAGCCCAGTTTCTGCTCCTCCTGGGAGCCTCTGGCTATCTTACTCACATTATCCTGAAGTTGGCTTGTCCCAACCAAGTTATGTGGAGGAAGCAGAACCTGAGGATCTTAGAATTCCTTTTTTTTTTTTTTTTTTTTT